GTATGTGGTGCTGAGGATCGAACCCGGGCTGCACGCAAGCCAGACGAGCGTGCTACCGCTTGAGCCACATCCCCAGCCCATGACTTCTTTCAATTCTATAATTCTTAGAGAGTTATTCTGTAACTCACTTTAGACATCTCTGGGTTCATGGTAGACTGGCAATTTGGGTCACCAGCAAAGGAGTTTTCCAGTCAAAGTAGTTTTCCATCAAGGTAATTTTGATTTGAAGGACAGTTTGAGAGCCATTGTGTTTTTAGAATGATTCCAAATGTATTGTGCAGATACTTCTTATTTCATCTATAGACCTAGGCAGAAATATTTAAGCCAGAACACCAATTGGATGATCTTAGAGAAGTAGAAAATAGAATAGTGGTTGCCAGAGTCTGGGAAGGGTGTGAGGGAAGGAGGGTTGGAGAAAACATGGTTAATGGGTGTAGGGGTGCACTTGGATAGGAAAATAAYTTCTAATGTTCTTTGGCACAGTAGGATCATTATGGTTGAAATCCATTAATTGAAATTTCAAAATAGTGAAGAGAGGAATTTTTTGGGGGGYGGGAGGTACCAAGGATTGAATATGGGGGCACTTAACCACTGAGCTATATCCCCAACCCTTTATTTTTATTTAGAGACAGGGTCTCACTAAGTTGCTTAGCGCTTTACTAAGTTGCTGAGGTTGGCTTTAAACTTGCAATCCTCCTGCCTCAGCCTCCTGAGCAGCTGGGATTACAGGCATGACCCACCATGCCCAACTGAAGAGAAGATTTTGAATATTTCTAACACAAAGAAATGGTATCTCTCTGAGGTGATAGATATGCCAGTTACTTAATCTGATCATTGCATATTATATACATGTACTGAAATACCACCAGGACCCCATAAATATGTACAATTAGTACATATCAATAAAAGAGACTGGAGAAATAGGTCAGTTTTAGAGCATGTGCTTAGCATGCTTGAGGCCTTGGGTTTATCTTATTGGCACTGGGCATTGAACCCAGGRCTGCTTTAAGCTTGAGCTACACCCCAGTCATTTTTGTTTTTAAATTTTGAGATATGGTCTTACTAAATTACCCAGGCTGGCCTCAAATTTGGCAATCTTCCTGTCTTAGCCTTCCAAATTGTTGGGATCACAGGTATACATCACTATGCCCAGCTAAAGCCTTGGATTTAAAACTTGTACTTGTGAAAAGGAAAAGAGAAAAAAAAAAAAAAAGACCAGCTGGAGGCTTCTTTGGTTTGCATTTTGGTGATAGCTGACAAAATGCTGGAGGAGCTTTTAGAATTGAAAGTAGGATCACAGCTTGAAAAGATTCTGAACTGTTACCCTGCCTATAATTACACAAAGAAATGTAATTACTGGAGGGGTTTTAAAATCATCCAGTCTAGTCATTTTGAAAACAGTGGAGTCTCTTCTCTGAGGCTACATAGTGAATAAACCAGGGCAGGATTCCATGTCTCTTTATTCCCAGTTTAATGTTCCGAAGATTATACTTCCCACCACACAGTTTTTTGTTTTTGTTTTTTAACCCCATAGACTTGGAACGCCAGTTGGAAGAGCAAAAGAAGCAAGCCCAGGATCATAGGCTGAAATCCCAGACAGTTCAAAATGTGGTACTGATGCCTGTGAGCACTCCTAAGCCTCCAAAAAGGCCTCGGCTCCAGCGGCCAGCCTCCACCACCGTCCTGAGCCCTTCTCCTCCTGTGCAGCAACCTCAATTCACAGTCATCTCACCCATCACCATCACCCCAGTGGGTCAGTCATTTTCCATGGGCAATATTCCAGTGGCCACCCTCAGCCAGGGCTCCAGTCCTGTGACTGTCCACACACTGCCTTCTGGCCCTCAGCTCTTCCGATATGCCACAGTGGTCTCCTCTGCCAAGAGCAGCTCACCAGAAACAGTGACCATCCACCCTTCATCTAGCTTGGCACTGCTAAGCTCTACTACCATGCAGGATGGAAGCACCCTAGGCAACATGACCACCATGGTGAGCCCTGTGGAGCTGGTAGCCATGGAGTCTGGCCTGACCTCAGCACTCCAGGCAGTTGAAAGCACCGCAGAGGATGGGCAGACCATCATTGAAATTGACCCAGCCCCAGACCCTGAAGCTGAAGACACTGAGGGCAAAGCAGTCATCTTGGAGACAGAGTTGAGGACTGAGGAGAAAGTAGTGGCTGAGATGGAAGAACACCAGCACCAAGTCCACAATGTGGAGATTGTGGTCTTAGAGGATTGACTGGGGATCTCGGGGCCAGGAGATATGTTTTGGTTTGGAATTTTAATTATTTGTTTATTTTTATCATTGTCCCACTCATTTCCACATAGGATCCTTCCTTTTTTTTTTTTTTTAGAACAAAATTTCATTGTTATAACTGAAAATGTTGGATTCCTCCCACTTTCTCATTGAAAAATGGACAAAACAAACTGCCCTTCCACAGTTGAGAGAGAGTAGGTCGTTCAATGTCTTAATCATCTTACTCCATGAAAGTTATTTTTTTTAGGGGAGGCATCAAAATAACCAGAAACCCTTTCCAGACTAGTCTATCTGTGTACGCATGTGGTTTTATTCTTGTAAAGATGATTGACCAAACTCTAGAACACAGATCTGACACTGGAAGGCAACCCATTCACATGTGGATGCAGAAGTATGCTTTTTTTCTTTTTTTTTTTTTTTTTTTTGTATCTTGGAAAGGATTCTCAGAGGGCAGTGCAAAACTCTGAAACAAAAAGAAGTTGAACTCTGCTTGGAGGGGAAGGTAGCATGGTAGCTGCAGCTTAAAAAGGGAAATGCTTTCACAAGGATAGGGCAAGGGAATTATCTTACCTACAAAGGTGCAACTGATATCACTTAAGATCTCTGAGGGTTGTTACTAGGGGTACCATTTGAAAAGAGGCCAGTAATAAGTGGAAGTGTACATTTTCACAGAGTAAGTGATAACAGTGGCCTGTGGCTTTGCTGAAATAGAAATCAAGGGACACTACAGCTGTGCTTTAAAGTTCAAGGTGATAGCTTCCTTGCCCCCCACTTTGTAGAAGCACTTACCCTCCTAACCTAGGATCAGTTCTTTCATTTGCAAAATGTGTGATGTGTAAATTGCTCTGGTCCTTAGAGTGTGGCTGCCTGTGGGTGGGACTCCAAGGCCATCATTTTTATTGCATGACTCCAGGAACAGGGGGAGTTYCTCATTCAGACCAGCTTCCATCTTTGATGGGGCCTTTCCCCCTCCTCCTCCTTGGCTTTGGAACCAAAAGCAGTCACTCATTTGGTGCTTCCTCTTGTTCTCCCCTCTACCCTCAATTCTTAATGACATCTGTCTTCTGGATCCCACGCTCTTCAGCTTTTTGGCTGATTTGGAGATCAGTGACAGGTGCCTGCCTGCCTTCATCTCCTTTTAGATTCATTTATACCACAGATGTTTCTGTGAGATACTGAGCTCATAAAAAAGCCTTAGGCTTGGCAGGGAAAACTGGTAACACCCCCAGTCTTTCCTGAGGCACCAACTAAATGTCTCCTCTTGAGTGAGCTGGACTCCCTGGGAAAGAAACATTATCTGTGACATTATATTATAGGAAATGTACCAGGAATGTCAATAGTAATGTCTTGTTTTTGTTTTGTTTTTGTTTTCCTAAATGTTGTTTGTATATTTAGAGCTGGCAATTTTTTTTTTTTTTTTTTGTGCTATGATTCCTTCTCTTTGACCGGTCCTCTTCAGTGTTTGGGATAAGAGTAGACCCTGTTTTTTTTTTTTTTTTTTTTATTTCTTTGACTGCATTGTTTACTGCACCAGGATAAAATAGGGAAACTACAGGCAACTTTAATGAAAAAATAGGTCAAAAAAAAAAAAAAAAAAGCACATACTTTAGGAATGGGAGGATTTTTTTTTTTAAATTAAAAGCAAATCTTTGACCTGTAGTTTCTTTCTTTTTTTCTTTCTTCTTTTTTTTTTTAAAGAAGGCTTTTCTCTGAAGGTGTGTTTTTTCCCAACAGATCAAAGCCAGTGAAAATTGTGTTCTGCCATCCCTCAGATGGCTGCATATAGCCAGAGAAGCYCTCTAACTGGGGAGGGTCAATCTTAAAAGTTGTAAGAGTGAGACTTCTGAACTCTGTACAAGTAGTGGTTTCAGCTTTAAAATTAGGGTTTTATTTTTCTTTTCAAAATATTTAATAGACTTAGCATTCAGTTTAGAAAAAAATCTTTGGCCTTTTACATATCTTTAGTGAGGGAAGTGGCTTCTRTTATCTGCTTCTTTAGTTTTTCTCCTGGTACATAAACAAAAACAAAATCTCTGTCTAAAGACTGAAGCTAGTACTTGAATCTAGAAAGGCACATCTCATCCCTATTGTGATCTTTAGGGATACTTTTCTCTTTCCCAGAAATGAGAGGACCAATTCAGAATAGCAGAGGAACCCTAAAGATTCTGGTGAGCTAGCTCAGGTTCCTTTCTTTTCCCCATCAGAGCTGTTGGTAGTGTATAAGGTAGCATGAACATCATGCTTCCAATGTCAAGAGATCTCCTGAAGACACAACCTGTTGACTTTCTGAATATTCCAGCTGGTGAAATACATGAGCTTTACTGTTTTGCTGGTCTTCCAATAACCTGTCATTATTAGCTGCTGTGGTAGCCATTGCTCTGTGTGAGTTCCCTGACTCCCTGATCTAGGTGATTTTAACTGGGGTGAGACATCAGCAAGCCCCTGATACGTGCATAAGCAGCTGCAATGAATCTCCTCAGGCTGATTTGACAGGAGCCATCTATCTTTCTATTCATTCATTAAATAAACATTTATGAATACCACTTATGTGCCAGGCYTTGTGCTAGGCACCAGAAGTGCAGAGATGAAGACAGTGCCTACATTCAAAGAGTTACTTCTCCAAACCTCTGGAGTTGCGGACAATCTTCCAATATATTTGGTTTCTCTTGTAATCCTATGTATCTTATTTTATGCATTGAAAAACATTATTCTGAGAATTGGTCCATAGATTTCAGGATTGTGCCAAAGAAACAAAAAGGTGAGAAGCCACCTCCAATGAGATACTGAAACATGGAGGTGAGTGCAGCTACAGGGTTGTTGGCCTGGAGATAAGAAAGCAAAGGGTCAAGCTCCTAACTCAGGGCGGGGTTCATAAAAGAGAAAAAAATCTTTAATCTCTTGCTGCTTCTGCCTGCAGAGGCAGGCAGAGTCAGTGGATGGGCAATCTCCTGAGAGTGCCTCACTGGAGAAAAATGAGTGTACCTGGGCTTCTCCAGGTTTCCATCAAATGAAACCAGGGCTGAATCTGGTGTAGGACTGGAGTCTAGCTGGTAAAGGGGAAATGCTCCAGACCCTGCCATGTGGTTTCTCCAAAGGCCTGAGTCAACTGTACAGCTGTCTTGTCTTGGTGTCCCTGTTTGGTCCGTGCCTTATTCCCATATCCTTCTTAATTTCCATATCTAACCTGCCCTCCCAAAGTAGTGATTCTGAAGTAAAAATGGGCCATAGACATGAATATTGAAGATTCAAAGTCACTTCAGAGTGCATTTTTTACACACCTATGTTCACATTAGGAAAGGAGGGTCAGTGTAAATTCAGCTGTGTTAGAAATTAACAGTTAAGGTGGCTTTGATATTTTTTAATGGTGGCCATTTACCCCGTGTCAAAAGGCAGTACAGGTGAGTATATGGTGGTGAGTACAGTGTTATAACCATAGCAAGATTAAAGCATGAAATATGGAATTACTAGTTGACTGAGTTATAACTGACCCAGGTTTTAAAACTCTCAAGAGTTAGAAAGGAAAAAAAAAAAAAAGGTTGAATCCTGAAAATAGACATAAGGTTATAATTCACCTTGGACAATACTACTGAGGAAATAGTTCTCTCAGTCAAAAAAAGGACACCAGCCTAGCTCCTGCATTTCAGACAACTTTCCTAATACAACTGATCACTTCCCTGGAGGTAGGACAGATCCCTTTCACTTAGGATGATCCCTCCCTGGAATTTTTTTTTTTTTTTTTTTTTTTTTTTTTTTTTTTTTTGGTAGTGCTGGGAATTAAACCCAAGGATTTGCACAGGCTAACCAAGTGCTCCAACATTGAGCTACATCCCCAGTCTCTCCCTGAGAAATTATTGGGTAGTCTATAATGTACTTTCATAAGATCCATGGTGGTCAGGGACCCCGAGGAATTGGTTCTGCCAGATTTAGACTCTGTCCCTTGAATTTCTGTTTTAGTACCRTTTGAGTTCTTTCCAGGTTTCCTTCCCAAGACTGGAACACCTTTGCCCTTAGTTATGCAATTTGACTTACTCTATTTTTAATCCCCTCTGTATACACTCCTTCATCCTTGTCTTTTTCTGCTTCATTAATTCTGCCTTTCTGCCAGGTCAGTGCAGTAACTTTCAACTCTTTTTTTTTTTTTCCCCAATACTAGAGTTAAACCAGGATGCTTTACCATTGAGCTACATTCTCAGCCATTCTTATTTTTGACAGGCTCTAAGTTGCTTGAACTTGCAATCCTCCTGCCTCAGCCTCCTGAGTGTTGCTTAGATTACAGGTGTGTACCAATTTACCCTGCAATTTCCTACTTTTTTCTGGAGGGTTTTGGGAGTAGGGATTGAATTCAGGGGCATTCTATCACTGAGACAAATTACTGGTCTTTTTTTTTTTTAATTATAATTTTGAGACAGGGTTTCATTAAGTTTCTGAGGCTACCCTCCAACTTGTGATCCTCCTGCATCATGCTTCCTAGGCAGTAAGACTACAGACCTCTATCACCTTGCCTAGGTAGTACCTGAAGTTTGTATTATGTCTTCTGAGCCTTTCAACATAACAGAACCCACACCCTGCATTCTGCATTGTGAAATTGCTCTGGGCTTTCCTCATGTTATCTCTGGTTTCCAATTCTGTACCACTACTGGTAGTCATGTCTTGGAATATGGTATATATGGATCTATCTTTGTAGTTTGAGAACATGAATAAATAGTGGGTTTGGATTACAATAGAGTAAATGTGGGACTGGGCATGTTGGCACATGTCTGTAATCCCAGCCACTCCAGAGGATGAGGCAAGAAGGTTGCAAGTTCAAGGTCAGCCTGAGCAATTTAGTGAGACTCTGTCTCAAAATAAAAAGGGCTGGAGATGCAGCTCAGTGGTAAAGTGCCCCTGGCTTAAATCCTCAGTACCTCAAAAAAAAAAAAAAAAGTATGGTGAGTGAGGATATTACCCCGTGATAGAGATGTTTGCCTAGTATATGGTAAGCCCTAGGTTCCATCCCCAGCACCAGAGGAAAAAAGAAAGAAGAGAAAATGTGAGGCTTGGTGAGGACTCACAAACACAGGTTACCCATGGGCTTCTCTAGAAGGCTTTACTTGCATTTCAAAATGTAGATATATTTATTTGCTTTTTTTTTTCTCTCTCTCTAACTTGTTTTCTCTAACAAAGTCTGTAAACTGTAGAGCAAACCGGAGACTCACAGCAATGTTTCAGCCTGCAAATTTATTTCAATTCACATTTTTGTTTTATTGAATTTGCATATGGGAAATCATAGATGTATAACTTGATAAATTTGACARGCTGAACACACCCATGAAACCAGCATGCAGATCGAGGAAAACAAACATTACCAATACCTCACCCTGCAAGGGTAACTACTCTTTAGTTCTCTAACACAGTTTATTTTTGCTTCTTTTTGAACTTTTTTGTGAGTGGATTTTTCACTCAACATTGTGTTTATGCCACTCATCCATAATATTATATGAAGTTGTTTTTTCTCATTGTTCTATAGAAACTAACTATGCTGGAACTGAAGCATTTGACCAATAATGAGCACTTGGGTAACTTCCATCTTGGAATGGTTATAAATCATTCCTCTGTGAACCTTTTTTTCCCTCCTCAGTGCTGGGAATGGAACCCAGGCCTTATGTATGCTGGGAAAATGTTCTGTCATTGACTATATCCCCAGCCCCAACCTTTTTATACATGTCTTTTGAGAAAAATAAATATGCAGTYGGTCATGGAGGCATATACCTATAATCCCAGCAACTCAGCAGGCTTGCTGCCAAAAGCTCAGTCCTTGTCTGGATGTCAATCCAATAATCAGGAAACTGTTTTGAGAAAAAGGAAAAAGAAGGTTTATTGCTTTGCTAGCAAAGGAGAAATGCAGGGGATTCCTGTCCCAAAGGCTGTATGATTCTGCTCATCAGCAGGAACAGGGGGCTTTTATAGAGGTGATTCAAAGAAAATTAAATTAGAGAGGAGAGATCAGGAAGAAGTTTAGGCAAAAGAAAATCAGAGAGGAGAAGATTTAGGGAGAAAAGATTGCGAAAAAGAACAAAGCCACAGGGATATAGTCAAAGCATCAAGTGAACCCCTGTTACAGGCTGAGGCAGGAGAATTGCAAGTTCAAGCCCATCCTGGGCAATTTAGGGAGAGTGTATCTTAATGAAAATAAAAAGGGTTGGAGATATAGCTCAGTGGTGGCAGAATATCCCTGGGTTCAAATCCCTAGTACATCAGGTACATATATATATGTTGAGTTTCAAACATTAGGATGGTTCATATGAAAAAAAAGTCAAGATACAGTTTTTCTTTTAAAATATTTTTTAGTCATTAATGGGCCTTTATTTTACTTATTTATRTGCGGTGCTGAGAATAGAACCCAGTGCCTTACACATGCTAGGTGCTCTAACATTGAGCCACAACCCCAGCCCCAAAATACAGTTTTTTGTTAAACCAAAACAAACCCAACAACATCAGT